GGGGATTAGTACAATGTCTCAGTTGGAGGACACACCGCAGAAGGGAACCGATCCCTTCGCAGACGAAGATAGTAGCCTGCAAGCGTCTGATGCCCCGTCCGCGTCTGCCTGGAAGGAAGTACCAACAGTCCGCAAGCTGGTGGCTGGGAAGTACGTGTCATTTTGAAGGGGCAATGACAACCCCATCCAAGTCCACTCGATCAAGATACCGCCATGGATTATTCCTTTCGATGTCGCGTTCTCTGCAGTCACCTCGCCTGATTTGACAATTTGTTCACCCCTCGAGATATTCGCTCTTAGCACCCTTACCCTGTATTTGGTTCAGAACTTCTTGATTCTTCCTCCCCTATTTTCCCTATGTTGAAAATTTTTGTTTCTAATCCCTGGTCTATTGATGCCTTCAGGATAAAGTAGGTATTGTGGTTATTGTAAATAAGGTCTCTCGTTCAAGTACTACTTACCTGGGGAATGGACAATTTCATACCGGAGGCTCCGTTTACGGACAGAAGCAAGTCTATGCTGACATTTTGGTAGAGATCATTGTACGTTGATATGTGAAATCTCAGGGAAAAGAAAGTGTTACATTTCCACAGATTAATCCCCTCATCAAACATGGCACTAGACATGCTAGTTAGGAAATCACTATATACAGTAGCCAAGACATGAAGTGGCACTATCAAAATTACATCCTTGCAGCCCGCGTGGTCTTATCATAAAAGTCCAACGTCATAGCCGCAAGGAAACAGGGTATATCCTTCCGTTCTTCAACCCAGAACTTGATCAGATGTTTGATCTCCATCGCGAAGAGACTGTTCGGTCCACCGGAGATCTTCATCGTGCCGTTCTCGCCGTCAAAGATGATGGAGTTTTCTTCGCCGTTGCCCATGCTCCCCGGGCCACGGGAGTCCGAGGAGGCGCCGCCGTCGCCGTGTCGGTAGGCGGGGGAGAGGTGGAACATGGAGGTGACGCGGACGCGGCCGTTGGGGAGGAAATCCAGCTTGTAGCCTAGCAGGGAGGCGACTGCTTCGCGGAACTCGGATGATTTTGCGGTCCAGATTTCCTTCAAGCGGCGCATGCGCTTCTCCTTGTCGGCGACCACTTTCTCCATCTCGTTGAGCTCGAGTTTCATGCTTTCGAGTGAGCTGACGGGCACGACTTTCACGTCCATGTGGTTGGCCTGCAGTTGGGCCAGGAGATCCCGATTCTCCGCCCGGAGAGTTGCGATGGTGGAGAATTTGAGCTTTTCTGCTTCGGCGGTGGGATTGTCACGCAGCTCCAAAATGCGTGTGCGAGACTTGGCCTTGAGGGATTTGAGCTGAGATTTGGTGGCTTCCAGTTCCTTGCGGAGGAGGGCCGCGGCCTGTTCAGACTTGGAAAGCGAGTCTTGCAGCGTCCGGTTCTTCCGAGCCAATACAGAGAGTCGCTCGTTCTCAGCGTCACTCTCGGCTGGTGACAACGGTCGTTTGAGGCCTCGGGCTTGTGTAGCATCCTGCTGTGGAGCTTCGCGCTTCGCGAGTTCTTCGTGAGCCTTTTGCACTTCCGCGCGGTATTCATCAACAAGTTTTTCCAGGTTGGCGATCTGCTCGGATTTGCGTTGGTCGAACTGGCTCTGCTCCGCGTTCATGGTGACTTCTTCCGTGTCGAAAGTCTCCAACTGGGCGCGAAGATACTCCACCTCTTTGACTGCAAGTGCCCGCTGACGTTCCAGTCTAGCTCTGATGCGGCTCTCAGCTGTGGCCCCCCCAGCTGCAGCGCCTGCAGCGCGCAATTTCTCTAGATCCTGACGGAGGTTGGCTCCCTCGGTCTCCAAGTTTCTAATAATTTCATCTTTCTCCAAGAATTGTGCCTCGACGCTGCCCAATTTGTCAACCAATGTCGCCTTTTCAATCCGTTCTTGCAACAGGGCTTTGACGACCGCCTCTGGCGAGTCGAATTCCGCAGGTTGATCATTCTCCTGTAGGAGACTGGTCCACGAACTTCGCTCGTCCTCCAGAATCTGCTTCTGAATCTGAAGAGTGTTCAATTCTGACTCCACTTCTTTCATGAGCTGGAGCTGATTTTCCAGCGACTTCTTTTGTTCCTCTACCACCTCGACATTCTTCTGGATTTTCCGCAGATGGCGCAGTTCCGCGGTATGTTCTCGATTTGCAGTCTCCAAGTTCCTAATGTGAGCGACTTGATCGGAAAGCTCCCTCTTCAATACGGACAATGTTTCTCCGTCAGTCCCCTCTGCTTTAAGGCGGATATTCTCCGTTTCAAGGTGGGCAACATCCATATCCCGCTGCGACAGTTTCTCCTGAGTAGACTGTAAATTGTTTCTTGCATTTTGAAGGTCGTTCTGCAGCTCTTCGAGCGTCTTTTGAAGTGATGAGCGAATTGTTTCGAGTTCATTGATCTGATGTTTGTGTTGTCTTCCCTGGTCGAGCAGCTGAGCCTGAGTCTCTTCCAGTTCCTCCCGTAAGTTCTGCTTTTCATCTTGCAGACTTCTAAGTTTCCGCTCTAGTCCGACCTTGTCGTTAAGGGCCTGGTCCTGAATTTCTTTCAACTCTTTGGCAAGCGTCTCGCTCTTATGGTTGGCGCGATGACTAGCGGATTCTGCAGCCTGCGATTAAACTGTTGTCAACATGTGCCCGACGCCATGGCAGATTATGATGATGTAACAAACCTGCGCCTTCCTGAAGTCCGCATCGGCCTTCAATTGTAGATCTCGGAGTTCCTTCTCATGACGTAGGATCGTCAAATCTCGCTCCTGTTTGAGATTCTCCAGCTCGTACCGCAGAGTGCTGACTTGTACGCGAAGCTCCTCCTTCTCTGTATCTAAGGCAAGTCAGACCCGTGATTTATGTTCCATGGCAACGTGCGATCTAACCGGGCTTCGGAGGCTGTGAAGGGCGGATGGATTGGCGCAGAACATTTTGAGTTCCCATGATAGACAAGGGCGAGGCGCTCCCAGGAGGAGACCCAAAGGGAGGTCGCGAGTTCCTACTTGGATCCATCTGAATGTTGTCGGTAAGCCACAAGCTTGGTTTTGGTACAACGGTGCGATTTACCTTCAACTATCCATAAATGACGAAGTTCCATAGACCTCAATTGGTCCCAAGATTATAGGACGAATAAGACGCGCCACATGACACGCTCTCTGAGCTTCAAGAACGCTCCCAGCGTTCGACAATGGAGAAAAGCCAGAGATAGCGGGAGGGTTGCGCGATGTGTTTGAGAGCCTTACAGCTATCGGGATGGTCGATCATGCCCCATTGAGTAAGTGATGAGTAAGCGGTCCTGTGGCAGAAGCTCGTGTTCCCAAATCGGACTAGCGCCAAAATTTTCAGATGGATTTTGATTTTTTTGCGGATTTCGAAGACACCGAAACGACCATATTATTATTTGTTCCTCCCCACGTTCACGCCAGCACCCGCCAATCCTCGGTTGTCCCTTTTTTTGTCCTTTGGGTATATCGAGCAAGCGCAAATTCGTCACAATGGCCAAGGACAAGTCCGAGAAGAAGGACAAGCGCGAGAAGAAGGAAAAGCGCTCGGAGAAGGACGGCGTCCACAAGAGCAAGAAGGACAAGAAGGAAAAGAAGGACAAGACTGTTCTCGCTGAGGCGGTAGAGCAGGAGCTTACTAGCAAGGTCCTGGATGGAATCGACAAGGCCGTTGCTGCCGAGACTGCTGTTAATGGGTCTGCTGAGGTTGAGATGGAGGTCGACAGCCGCCCCGTCGGCGCACTTGTGCCATTCGCCAACCCTCTGGTTGAGGACAAGCAGGCTAAGAAGGTTCTCAAGAGTGTGAAGAAAGGTGAGTAATTTCTGAAAATCCCTTCTTGATAATGCGCACAATCTGTCTATCAGGGGCTATATTTTTCAGAGCAAAAAAGACATCGACTGGGTTGATTGTGTACTGTTTGCTAACTACCTCCCTAGCTGCCGTAAACAAGTGCCTGAAGCGTGGTGTCAAGGAAGTCGTCAAGGCTCTTCGCAAATCGCCAATCCCCGCCGCCAATGCTACCATCTCCATTCCCACCGGAATTGTCATCCTTGCCGCCGACATTTCGCCTATGGACGTCATCTCACATATTCCCGTTCTGTGCGAAGACCACGGTATCCCATATGTTTTTGTCACATCGCGAGCCGATCTGGGTACCTCGGCGGCTACCAAGCGCCCGACCAGTGTCGTCATGGTTGTGCCCAAATCAGCCTCGAAGAGCAAGAAGAAGGACGGCGAGTCAGAAGCCGACGGCGAGGATTTCAGCGAAGTCTATGAAGAGTTGGCCAAGCTCGTCCAGAAAGAGTCCAAGAAGGTGAACCTGTAAAGGTCACTTCTTTCTTTCCGTTGCTCTCTTCTGTTGCTGTTGGTTTTATCTTAATGTCAGGGCTGTTGTTCTCTTTCGCTGCTGTCTCGTCAATTGCTTTGGCTGTACAGTTCCACATTTTTGTCTGACAAGGCAGTGCATGTCTTTGGGGTCTGGCCTTTGGGACGTGTTCATTTGGGTTGATCTTTCATGATATGTCCGTTGCAAAATCTGGCGTTCGTAACTTGGTGTATGAAAAGGCAGGAAGTCTTTAAAAATGAAGCTCAACATGACGTTGATATTGTTCGATCTACATATTCATGATCAAACTAAATCATTGTGTTCTGAACAGACTGTGCCACTTTTTTGGTATGTCCTTCGAGCGACGAGCGAACCAGGTGCCATCCTGGAAAACACCTTAGGTCCACCAGTCCCTTCGATGACCTTTCAAACTCACGCCAAATGAGGGTAGAGGGCGAACTTACTCCATGTTTGGATTGTCGATCTTTCTCTGTTCTTTTGTCTGCAGGAGAGTGTGATTGTCTCACAAAACAGCTCACTGCTTCGTCCTCAGCTCGGGTCTTCGGCACCATGAGTGGGCATAGATGCTGGTACGTTCTTGCTCTTCTACACAGGCTGCTACATCGGGAACTATATAAGGTGCTATAAGATCAGAGCATGAATGCAGGGTTCTGTGATATCCCGCCGTCATGCCTGCTTCACAGCGTCCGTTTGTCCTCTTGAATGTTGAACTTGGATTCGATATTTTGTCTATTTTTGATGATTCCCTTGGCCGACAGTACCGCGAGGCATGTTACAGAATGGTTATGGCCCAGGTCATCATGATCTGGTCGTCCGTCCATGGCTGCCCACACTTGTTGCCACTTCCGAGGCCATCGGAAAACTTCCCAACTCATTAGGGTCGGTACCGGTGGACTGGATACCGATGGTGAGTATCGATGACCTTGGACAGTCCGGATTTCGAGAGATCTAATGAGTTCGTATCAGGACACACTTCCGACCATTATCTTGGAGCTCATCGATACCCGTCGCCAGACACTGGCGGACACGCCATGCTCTGTCTTCCACTTGGTCGATCCCTCCAGCACATCGTAGGGGCCCTCCTCTCTATGATTGAGCAGGTTACGGGGTTCGCCCAGTAGAAATGACTGAACGGATCAAGGATCTTAGAATCATCGTAAACCCTTCGGCTGACGATCGAGGCGAAGCCCATCCTGAAGCTCCTCAACGGTTATCACGGCCTGGTGGAGGAGGGATGACCACTATCAGCACCGATTGAGGTTGGCCAAACGAGAGAGGAGCGCACGACGATGAACTCCCTAGAGCCAGTTTCTCCTCAGCGATGGCCGACTGGATGGACCAGTGGAAGTTCTAGAGACTTATCCCGTGGACTTATCTAGCGAATTCACTGTTAGCTCTTACAAGAGACATGCAAGTAAAGTCACGATGTGACGATACATCTCGCAAACCAGCAACATCCTCCTCTTTTCCTCCTTCTTTCTTTCCATCCCTTGTTAACCCTGGGGCATGTGGGGGACCAAGCACTCCAAGTCGAATACTCAATCAGCAAGGGATGTGCTCCAAGGCCCCCAGAACTTTAAATCCTCTCACAATTTCATAAATCATCTGTGAATCAGATCGGGAGTATCGCGTAGACTGCGGGGAAATTCAAAGTGAGTTTAACGCAAGGGTTAATGGTCAAGAACAGTAGTCAATGGCACCGAAGATCAATGGCTACGTATTTATCACACCGTCTCGGCCGTAGCTACAGATATATGGGAGTAGAGGTCGCCCTCAACAGGACCGCACGTCAATCAAAACACTACCAATCAAAGAGGAAGAGCTAAACAACAATGCCATCCAAGCATTCCCTCCTCGTCATCTCCTTCTATTTATTGAGCCTCATCTCCGCGTTTCCGGTGTACCTCTCCCAAGCCAGCGGAGATACAATCCATTTCCACGCAGAACTAAAGGCACGTCCATGACAATCCCGTTCTTCAATCAATGCCCAATCCTAATTTATTGCAAGTTCAAGAGCCAGGGAAAAACCACTATTACCACAAACACCCCGTCGAACGTAGTATCTTCTGTTAACGCGGCCTGCGAACCCTGGAAATCAACCTGCTGGTCCATGAGCCATCATGGCTCATTTATCCCGAGGAGACCGGTCAACAAAGGTGATGGGAACGAGGACGAGACATCTCTTGTTGCGTATACCGCTTTGTATACTCAACGGCGAGGTGAGGGGTTGCTGGCACCTGCTGTGATCATGTTGGTTATGATGTGGTTAGCTGTGTTGGCGGTGGGGATCGTGGAGGGGATTGAGTTTGTGCTGGAGAGGTGTGGATGGAAGGGCGATGGTGAGGATGATTGTTTGCGTGAGAGCTGCGATGAGGAGAAAACGGATTTGAGTGGGACGGTTGGACCGCGTTGTTGGAATTGCTCTTTGACAGACGATAGAGATGATGGATACGTTTTCGAGTAGAAGAAACAACATGTCCATGATCAAGGGTGTTTCATTTCGTGTTCTATGGTACATAATCATGCAACTGCAGACACAGTCCGCGCGCAATGTAAGATTAACTTTAACTAGAGGTCAACTTTTCGCTATACGCCTTCCGTCGTAATTGATATCATAAGTATTCGAGTTCATCGCGATTAAGCTCTCTGATCACTTTCCAAAGGCTGATACCAGGTCTTATTGTCGATTCCCTTCTCGGTTGGGCCGCGGGCAGCATCAGCGGCCCCAGTCTCCGCAGTCTTGCGTTGAGAGTAGTTCTCGGCAAAGCGGCCAGGGTCCTGGTCGCTACCGATGTCCGAAGTGAAGCTGGCGTTATTGTTGGGGTCGCTATCAAAGCCACCCTCCGTCAAGTTGTTGCCCTTGGGTTTGGTGTGAGTATACTGCCCGGTCACGCTCTGGACGTACGAAGGGGCCTGGCCGCCATTGTACTGGCTGCGGTAACCACTTCCACTCGCCTCAGCGGGCTGGGACTGGGGCTGGGACTGAGGCTGTGTTTCGGATTGAGATTGAGTCTGAGATCGGGTCTGAGGCCGAGAAGTCTGCTGGGAGGTGGAATATACGCCCTTGTTGATACCCATATTCTGCTTGGCAGCTGTCGAGCCGCCAGTGTAGCCAGTCTCGGGAACATGGGCACCAGGGAAGTTTCCTTGGCCACCCATGGCTTCAGGGTATTTCTCCTGTCTGTCGAGATCCTCACGGGCGGCAGCGTCGGGGGCAGAGGACAGCTTGCTAGCGCCAGAGGTGTCCGTATTATTGAATGTAGACTGGTCGCCGGAAACCCCAAGAGGTTCGGCATTGCGGTTCTGGTAGTATCCACCACCGGACCTGGCTGATTCGGCGGCAAGAGAGTCGTTGGCGACGGGTCCAGAAGTCTCCTTTTTGGGATATCCGAGAGCTTCGGGATCTTGTGTGACCTGCTCGAACACTTAGCCATGTGTTCGGAATAGAGCAGGATTGCATTGCTTCACGTACCTTGGTGCTTCTGTGGCCGGGAGGGATGGGGTTGCCTTGGAGATCCATTATGTTGTTCTTTGTTCTGGTCGAAAATTGATCGTCGGGGAGAGATATAGCTATGTGAGATGCGGTTGATTCTGCTTCACTAGTCGACGTATCTGTAGTCGAGCAAAGGAGGATGTGTGACGGAAAGCTATATAGCAATGACCGCTGGATGTTGATGTCCTGAATACTAGCTCATCTAGCAAGGTGATGTCATTCTGACGGTACCAACCCAGTGCCCCAAGACACTCAGCAAGCGACATCACAGCGACAGGTACGTCAATGAACGCACACCACTGCCCTTGAGTGGCGCGGGCAACAGAGGACCGGGTGGAGAAGAAATAAATGATAGCCACGGAGCCCCAGTCCTAGAAGACATAGAGAGGTACTGGCTGCAATATGTTGCAATCACCCTGAGGTTTGCAGGCCGAAACCTCCGTCCTCGATCAAATCAAATCGACGACACGACTATCCTTGCAGGGCATGAATCGACAGGTCGAGCTCTCCACATGCTCAACTGCCCGGTTCGGAAAGCAACCCTGATTGCGCAATGTGTCGTTCAAGACGGTCAATGCTGGGGAATCTAGAGCTGGGCACCTTGATTGACGTCATGGCCTCAGGCCATCAAGACATGCTGGCACTTTGGCACTTTTGGACATTTTCGGCCAACCGCCGACTGCAGAGATCATGGGAAAGTCACGGTAAAATGCTCCAATAGATATCAGATTATTATTTCTCTTCTAGTTTGTCGCGGTTGTACTTGCGACTGGCACTGAACTACGGAGTACAATGGGTGACGTTTATTTAAGCTTGTGCATGATAGTCATGTGACAAGACAACTTGTACAAATCCAGACGCTAGTACTTTCTAGTCCGTACGAATTTCACGACGATGGTTGACTCTACAATAAGAGCAGATCTGATTATCAGTATCATCAAGCCTTTATATTTCTCTTCGGCTGATTCGTGCTCTTTGTAAAGCTTCCCGCAGGCTCTACCCAGGCAGATACCACTCAGTCGTCTATGTACTTGACCGCAAGCAGGGACACTAAAAGATATTTTTATTTGTTTGGCATGGATCATCATTAAAATGGATCAAGTCGCTCATCATAAAATTTGTATCAATACATTCATCAAGCGAAAAGAAATTATTTTCGAGCCTTAGCATCCCCCGGGATATCCGAAAGTCCTTCCGTGGCTTGACGACCGACCTTGCCTGTGGGCTGAGTTTCCTTGTGCAATTCCTCTGCCGACTTCCGTGCGCTGCTTTCTGCAGTAGCGGGCCCTCTGAGAGCGCTGTTGCTCTCGCCGGAGACGGGTCCTTCCAGGCCGCCGGAGCCGACGTTGACAGCTCTCTGGTCTGCAGACTGCCAATCGCTAGCAACGGGAGGCTGTTCTGGCAACGGCAGGTTGGCCTTGCGTTCTTCGATGGTCTTGGCCTTGTCTGTGTTCTGGTCGACGATGGACTGATTCGTAGAGTTAACAGCCGTGTCACCAAATTGATTTGCCTGTGGGTCAGGATTAATGTTACCTTCATAGCAGAGATATTGGAATTGGGAAGTGTGTTTCCACCGCCGGCATGAGAAGCGTGGGATTCGGGCTTGCGAAGGTCCTGTTGGGTCTTGTAGAAGGTTTCGCTAGACATCTTGTGGAGGAGTGTCGGGTGTGTGAGGTAGGATGCAGGAAAGTCTGGTAGTAGATCTGAGTTTGATGTAGTGCAAATGAAGCTCTCGCGAGTAAGTCTTTGAAGTCTGAAAATGATGAAGTTTCTAAATGTATGCAAAGAGGATGATTTAGGTTGTTATATGGAGCTGTCATGACTGGAGACCGTCATCGTCCTGGCAGGGCTGGTGACGTTTGCCATTATGACGACATACTGTCCCCGCAGGCCTTGGTTTGCCTGTTCACCACCCGAAATGAACATTGAGCGGGTCTTCGATCAAAATCTCTCCTATGATGCACTGAAGCCCACCTTAGCCGCTAATCTTGTCCTTGGCAGGCGAGATCTCTTCTGTGGTGGGTTGTTGGAAGTCCGGTTGTGTTGTGCCTGGGGTACCTTCACTTTGCTCCACATCTTCATATCGCTTCATGTTTGCAGACCTGCAGCACTGTCGAAGACGGAAGATGAGGTCTGTAGTCCCTGAAACCCAGCAGCGACGGAATTCGCTCTGTTTCTTTGTCCTTCTTGCACCTTTTCAGAGCTCGTCAGTCATGAATTAGTCGTCATCAAGATCTGCAGGGACCATGGCTGAGAATATAGGTGAATTCGCGCCCATGTTGGCCTGTAATACCCCTGAATAAACAGGAACTATCCAATAAGAATTGCAAGAAATTATTTTTTGAGTGATGCCTTAAGAGTAGTACCTTCAATGCCAGTGCATCAACCTGATATCTCTGGGCCAGGAGCATTTCTCGTGATGCCAGCCTGAATGTACTGGGACTCAAATGAGAGTTCTTGAAAGGCAGATCACGGTATGGCAATTAAAGTAGGTAGTTCAAGGTTGGGTCATACACCGTAGAATGACAGTCCTAGAACTGTCTTCCTCATCTTCCAATAGCTCTACGATGCTGCTTCACTGAGCCTTTTACAGATATCGGGCCAATTTCGGGGCTTGTACACCGCCTTCCGGAGATAGACGGCAGAATCTGAAATGTCCCCGCTGGGTCAGATGCGAACTTTTTTGGTCTGTATGAGTTGGACGACTATAGACAGCGATTTTTGCTTTTTCCTTTTGCGTATATCTAGGGCCGCCGCTGCACTGTCATTATGCCAAGAGACCCATTAATTGGGCTGGTTGGAAAGGTTGGTTCCCGCTGCTATCTCAGAAGATAATGCCGCTGATTGAGTTGAGGGGCATTTAGCCTTCCAGCGGGAAATCCACAACGCTGAACAGTCTTACAGATGCCAGTTCGAAAGTTGGTGAGTTGTTGATAACCTGAATATCATTTGTGTAGTACTGACTGGTTCCTCTTTTGCAGGAAACTTCCCGTGAGTGACCCGAAACACCATCTACTGCCTTTTCTGCCTCCGTCGCCCGAATGTTTTGATGCGATGACCGCATACGATGCGCTTCCAGACCATTCTGATTCTCGATGTACAGATTCACAACCATTGACCCTCAGCGCGCCATTGGCTATCTTCAAATAGAATGTGCCTGTCAACGCTTCAACGTTTCAGACAAATGTAAGCCGAATTACGGTAGCTGCGACAACGGCCGCCGTTCCGTCCCTATCGAGCTTTTAGATGTCGCGGGTCTCGTCCCTGGAGCACACCAAGGTCGCGGTTTAGGGAATAAGTTCTTGGACGACCTACGTCATGCGGACGCCTTGATTCATGTGGTGGATGTCAGTGGAACAACTGACGCAGAAGGTCAGCAATCGTCTCCTGCGTTTATCTCTTATCTCTCAATATCAGCTAAGAGGAATCGCGACCTTAGGAAAGGCAACGCGCGGATATGATCCATCAGTAGACATCGAGTGGTTACGATCTGAGATTGTGCGGTGGGTCTTGGGTAATCTGATGCAAAAATGGTACGATGCGATCCGGAGAGACTTCCTATTTTTTCCACTATGCTTATGGTCATACGCAGGGGCTCTATCAAAAGAAGACATGTCGCGACAAGTCAGTCAATGTCGCTTTCCCGCAAACTTATCAAAATGTATTGACTGTGGACTCAGAATCGACGGCTGTGGAGACATTACAAGGTCAATTCTCCGGATACGGAAGTACATCAGCGACTGTTGCGCGCTGTCTGGATAGGATCGCTCTGAAGGAACCTCTTGAAGAATGGTCGGACGAGACGATTGAGCGGGTAGTCCAGGCTTTCATTGATGAAAAGTTTCCTACCGTTTTCGCACTGAACAAGATTGACCACCCTGACGCGGATAAGGTTGGTTCCTTCTTCTACTCCTAGAGTCATGCTGGAATTCGTGCTGATAGAAGGAACCTAGAATATCAGCAAGATCGCCAAGATGCAAGACCCAAAGTCAATAGTGCTATGCTCCGCGATATCGGAGGTGTTTCTTCGAAGATTGGCGAAACAGGGTTACATCAAGTATACAGAAGGCAGCGAGTTCTTGGATACACGAGAAGATCTCATAGAGATGGGTGATCCCGATGGAGGCGGTCTAAAAGAAATGGACGAGAAGTTGAAGAAGTAGGTATGCCCAGCTGGGACAAGAAGACCTGGTTAACCTCGTATAGCCGTGTTGAGAACCTGAAAGATATGGTTCTCTATCGCTTTGGCTCCACTGGAGTGGTGCAGTGCCTCTCGCGAGCAGCGGAACTCTTGGGACTTGTGCCGGTTTTCCCTGTTAGGAACGTACACACATTTTCATCTGGAGCCGGAAATGCCGTGTTCAGAGATTGTGTTTTGGTTAAGAAGTGGGTTTCTTCGCGATCGGAACACCAAAGAAGTGTATAGCTAACGTTAAACAGGGGAAGCACGGTGGCTGACGTTGCCCACAAGGTTATGGGTGACGTTCCCATCTCTTACATTGAGGGTGTTGGCGGCACCCGAGTGTCTGAGGATGAAATAGTCGAAGTAGGGAAGCATGATGTGAGTCGCTCTTTGTATCTGAGCATTTTCTTTGCTTGCTAAGAATATTTTTGCAGGTCCTCTCGTTTAAACCTGGCCGATAGACCTGAAATATCATTCCATCTATGTACAGCTGATGTAAGGCAATTTCTGTAACGAGGCAACCACATGCCACGAATTATACAACGGCCAATTAAAGGCCACGAACCCAGGAAGAACTAATAGCCTCAAGCGGTCAACTGGGGTGATCAAGGACCCTTCTATAAATCAACATGTTAGCCAGCTGAAACATTACCGACAACAACAATATCCGCTGATCCGGTAGCACTCACCTGAGCTCTTTCATCATTCATGCCGATTATCGGTTCCGGCGCCTTAGGGTGTTCCTTTTTAGCTTGACGCTCATGCTTGAGACCTTCCCTCTCCGTCACTCCCTGCTGCTTGGTTTCATCTGCGATGTTCGAGCTTTCTTCTTTTTCCTGCAGCCCCGAAGCGGAAGATTCTGCCTGAGGATCTGTCGTATCACCGTTTTGCTTCGTTCTCTTCACCGCATGCTCGTCGGGCGAGGAACCCTTCCATTCTTGACCTAGAGAACTGTTGAGGCGGGCTCTCACATTGCCAGGGGTGGGAAACCTGGCAGGTTGCCAGACAGATTGGAGCGGAAGAATAGAGACGCGGGGAGGGCGCGGAATGAGCAAGCTTTGGAGCTTTGAAGTTGTAGATGGGAGGCGAGGGTTACTAGGCATGTTGAACTGCGGTTGTGAGTGTTACTTGTTCAGTGGTAATATCCTTGAGTTGTAGACCTCAGGTACAAGTACAATGCTTTATTTAAGTAAGGTTCTGGACTCCAGGAAGTCCCTTTCGAGCCGCTGGAGGCCGCATCCCAAGCAAGGCCCATATCGAGTGACGGGATGTTGTATGACGTCTGGATGCTGCAATGGTATGGACCAATCGAGACTGTAGGGCTTAGGGTTGAGCTTCCCCAACTTATCGATAAGGACATGGGAGCAACAGTGGGGCTGCTCAGCTGGCGGAGCGTGACAAGTTGGTTTCTTGAGGTAATTGCGTCAGGTCTGTCTGATGGTCAAAATTATCCCAGTGACGGAGCAATATGCGACGCGACTATCTCCCTATTGAGGCTCTGCCTCCCTGGACAAAACTCAATGGCATTTCCCTCGAGGGAATCGCTTTTCGGAAGCTCCATGGCGAGGACGGGACAGACAAGGGCTCCGCGATCGTCGCGACAGCAGAGAAAAATGGCGAGGAAGCTGAAGCAGACACTCTTCTCACGGTTCCATCCGAGCTGGTACTCACTTTCGAGTTCGTTCACAACCATGCAAAAATTGATCGCTACCTTCGGGAGGTCCTAGATGCCGTTGGCGACTTTGGCAGGGTATGTTATAGGTCACCATTACTATAGATCGGCTCTTCGTCACTTGTCGCATAAGACGTCGAGCTAATATGTACAGACAGCTAGAGGCGCGATTCTGATCTTTTTAATTCTCCAAATCACGCATGCAAGCCCAGACTTTGCCAACGAACACCAAAAGATCGGCGTCTCGAACCCTTGGACAGAGTACATCAAGTTTATGCCGGCGTCTGTACCTCTACCGACATTTTACTCGGAAGAAGAGCGCGAGCTTCTACGTGGGACATCGTTACGAACTGCAGTCGATGCGAAACTTGGTTCTCTTGAGAAAGAATTCGAGCACCTACGCCAAGCTACGGAGAATATACCCTGGTGCCAGGGGCATTGGTGGGACGAGGATACCGGGAAATTCACATTCGACGACTGGAAGTATGTCGACGCCGTGTATCGGTCACGAGTGGTCGATCTCCCCAGAAGTGGGCATGCGATTGTGCCATGTGTTGATATGGCAAACCATGCCTGTGAGGACTTGGTGAAAGCCAGGTATGATGAGGATGGAGCCGGAAACGCTGTACTCCAGCTTCGAACCGGGAAGAAGCTACGTGTCGGCGAGGAAGTTACTATATCGTAAGTCTTGAAGATGACTGTGAACAGGAGACGCATGTTGATGGGAGGTGGCATGATATAGGTATGGTGATGAGAAACCAGCCTCGGAGATGGTATTCTCCTACGGTTTTATTGAAAACGAACGAACGAACGCGAAGCAGATCTTCCTCGATCTGGAAATTCCCGATGATGATCCTTTGGTAATGGCCAAGCAGGCATTCTGCAAGGAGGTCCCTGGGGTACGAATCACCAGGGCTACTACAACATGTCCAGAGCCGACCAAGACCACTTGGGAGAGCCCCTTTGTATGGTGGGCTTGTGTAAACGAGGAAGATGGCCTCGATTTCGACGTGGTGCAAACCACCGACGGGGGAAAAGAACTAAGAGCTACCTGGAAAGGAGAGGACATGGGAACGCCAAGCCGCCTCAAGGATTTACTAGCAGCGGACCAATTATGGGATATTTTCCAGCTTCGTGCGGTTGTGCTTATACTCGAGCGACTTGAAACCCAGCTGGTGATTCTGCGGGAGACTAAGAAGCTAGTTGCTGAAATAAGCAATGACGAGGACATGCGTACGCTCTTTCGACCCGATGTTTTAAATACAATATCTAGGTTGCGAAGGCTAGAGGGTGAATTGTTGGAGTCGAGTATTGAGGACCTCATGAGCAGCGTAAGTGTTGATCCTACGCCCGTTAATGTTTGCGAAAGCGCTAACCACTATTTCGTCGTGCAGAGACAGGAATTGATAACATCTGAGACGGTCACTGCGTATCTCAACCAGCAGTCCGAGGACGTAGAAGAGGATTTCTCATAATGATAATCAGATTGAGTTTGTAAGATTGACACAGTCCTGACTACGTGAAAGTTTACAGGCATAACCGTTTAGGTGTACTTTTCATTGATCGCTATATGGTTCATTGGCTGTACCAGAAATCCAACGCCACTAGAAGGATCTAGTAATAATAATAATAATCTCAGAGTATCTCGACTTCTCCAATCCCGGAGTCGGACTACCCCAAAAGCGAGACTCATAATACACAATTAATTGATCAAGACCCACTACGGAAGAACCACGAAGCAGCCATGCCCGATTTCTTCCTAACATATTTATTGAGCCATTGGTGGGGTACGACTCCGGGGTAGAAGAACGGGGACAGACGGGACACTGGGGGAGGGCACTCGGGGATCTGCACCAAATTTTCGGGCTCCTGGGGATGTCTGGTACCGTTCGCGTCAACGTTTCGAATAGGTAGGACTCCTGGGCCACGAAATACGAAACTTTGTTTCGTTCGTTTCTAGTCCAAATAAGGTATGTAGGCCATGCGAGCGGCTTGGGGAGAAGATGGATGACGTTGTCTAATATCCACTAGGACCTGGGCTCTGGCCATGCACACGCCAAGAAAGGCTGGAAAGGACCCTGAGCCTATGAAGGCATGATTATGGCCTGATGCAATCGTGTACTCCGTATGCTTCCAGAAATTCGACTAGAAGGATTCCGGGGTCCTCAGACTAGGCACGAGTTTTCGCCAGCCACGAGGGAATCATGCCATGCTGCGGTAGAATCTGCTCGACAACGGCAGATTCAGGTGTGTTGCAGGAACTCTCAGGCTGCATGCCTAGCGTCATGACACTCATGTTGTCGCTGGCTGGTATGATTGAGCTGGCCGCGATACTCGCAGTGTGCACCCGCTAACGAGCACACCTGCTGAATTTAGCAACTTCAGAACAGATCTGCAAACGTGGACCACGGTGACTGACATACTACTAGTAGTCATCTCCATAGAGCTCAATCTTGATCGAATTAGTTTTGTCCATTTCATGGTTGGTGGAGCCGGATCCTGGCGGATCCCAAATATTGATAAACCTCTCGCCTCCACCGTCGCGGTTTTCTCGGTCAACACTCGGCATGCAAGAATTAAACTCTTTTCAACGGAAAATCAGGCTTCTGAAGACATGATTACTTCATGGTTACGGTCATGTAACAATTCAAGAATTCAAGAATCTTGGAAGATCTGTGGCCACTGTATAATCGCATGACTGAACTTTAGGGTTGGTATGGTGTCTTCTGATCTTACTGGATTTCAGCAATCAACTCGACAGGCGATGGTATCCACGAGGATCCCCCGCGATTTTCTCCAGCTGCGAACGGACGGGGCACAGAGTGGCAAGCTAACTTTACCTTAACAGAAAAATGGTTCCGAATCTTCCCTCCCAGTAGTAAGGGAAATTCCGGCCAAGACTCGGGGTCCATCCACTATTATGTTTTGTATCCGTACCTGTTGCTTGTATTATTAAAGGCAGACTTTGAAGAAAAGAGAGGATGTGCACAAATATGATAAATTGGGAAGAATCCTCGTGAATGCTTCGGGCTGTAAGGGTTCTAGGGAATAATTCGGCGGGATCAGCCGTGGATAATCTCCTCATGGCCGCAAACACAGACTGGTGAAGTGGTGACTGCGAAAGTGAACCAACATCCAATGTCTTATTCGCTCATGACATCCTTCGTGTGCCAAGGCTCCAGCTTTTGAGTTCAGAGCTCGCTAGTCAGGGAAAGCGTCTTAATCCTTAAGGCCAGGATTGCGGAGAACTTCTTCCCATGGAATGACCATGGAATGGGCTGAATCTTTGGAGTTGTATTTTATGTGATGTGTCCAGGGGCGGCTAATGCTCTGCTTAATAGAGCTAGGAAAAAAGCCTTGTGTGGATGATAGACGATCATCCATATTTGAGCATCGATCCATTCATGCCTAAAGGGAGACTACGATGGAACTATGGATTTTAGCGGCTTCAAAATAGTCACGGATGCAAGGCATACCTGAAAGACTGGGCTTCGCATCCCATGAGATACTACTTACCTCTTTTTTGCGGTAAACTCTTTCATTCGGAGAGGCTGATGTAAGTGGACAGCAGGTTGATGCATCAGTGTCATCATAAGGATACCTAATCTTTGACGGAGGAATGCTAAGAGACTGCGTCTGCCATGGCGCGTGGCAGTGAAACCGCCCAGTCGAATACTTCTAGAGTCTTTCCCCCAGATTTCGCCTCCACAAAAGTTGTTTCATGACCGAAGAATGGCGAACACTCACAGCTAACCTAAACTTATGATCGCAACATGACGGTAAACCAGATCTTTATGAAATGCCGACAACCAAGAAACTCTTCGGAGTCAGTAATTAAACCTCAAGTCCTCAACGATCGTTCTGGATAGAACCCCATCGAGTAGCCGTAAGTGTAATACCGTATCGACTAACCCGCGGTTGCATCTTCGGTGTCCGCTGAGCAAGTGAAATGCAGTAAAACATCAATTGCTATTGGCTGTCCGGCTTGAATGCAACCCCACATGGCTGCCTCTCCACAGGCCCCCTGACACGCTCCGGGAAATGGGTGATTACACGTTGTAATTCTTCGTAACAATATTACTCGGTCCATTCGGTACTCACTGGATAGGTATTTCCCACATTATCCCAAACAGGCTCGATCCCCCGTTTGTCTTGCGTCTCCTCTTCTCTCCTCTTGTCTTCCGTCTTACTGTCACCACTAGATACTCCTCTTTCTCTTTGACAACATATCGATTCTTTTCAAACATCTATGCAGACATTCTAATCTCCACTCTTCTAACATCTCGGCTGCGAGACAGCTATCACGCTTTCCATATCTTGATCGTCGCCTAACCTTACCATATACAGTCATCATCCTGACCCTCCGCTTGTTCGGCGTTAACCACCACTTCGAGGGCAAGCATCATTTATTCGGCGGCAGATGCGTTAAGA